TTATAATATTAATTATCGTCTTTAAAGTTACATAAAAACGATTTATATTGAAGGTTATTTATTTAACAAACTTTTAATTGAATAATTGTATATGTCACATATTCATAGAGCAGTCTTACAACAATAATATAGTTACACATATCTATATGACTATATTTATTTATTGTTGAATTTTAGCTTTACAGGGTGTAACAGAAAGATCTAACAAATGAAATTACTTTTGTTCTAATCAATATTCAAACTTTTTTAATAATATTTTCAGACGTTTGTGATTCAAGTAAACATTATCATTTTATTTTTAATACTGAGAGTAAAAATTGTTTACTTTAATTACATTTTATTTTGGATAAATTCAAAACAATCTATTCGTTACTCAAGTGTTTTCGGTAAAAACGTTTATTTAACTAAAGAAGTTTAATTTTTATATTTTTTAGATATCAATAATTTTTTAGCACATTGATTCAAAACGTAAAAAAATATTCAAAATATTTTTTTTGAGAATTTCCTGACGAGTATATTTCTTAATTTATTTATTCACTTATATATTATTATTTGTATAATTGTTTTCATATTTTTAACTACTAACAGTTTTTTTATTTTTTGTCAGGTCTTTCTGTTACACTTTGTATTTATATAGTTGTATATTAATTGTATCAGTTAAATTACCAACTTCATATCTGGTTATCTAGTTTCCCTTACGTCCACATATTTGTTTTTTCTGTCCATGTAAAGATGCGTTGTTTACTCGCCAGGTTTTATGATAATAATATCAAACGGTCAAGTGTGCGTCAATTAATCCTTTACTAAAACGTGAAATTTATGTTTCTTTTAATTAATGCTGTAAAAAATTGTCATAACTCTGTTGTAAGACATACTCGTAATATCATTATATTTGATATATTTTCTTATTTCTTAATGACACCATTTTTTGACGAGTATTTACGTTTTTCGTTACAAATAACATGAATGGCGAATTTAATCATCCGGTCCCAGGAAGAAAATCGCATACAATATGAGTACAGGACATTAGAACGTGTATAATTATAATAAAATACTCTCCTTAAAAATACTTTAAAAAATCTTAGCTCAAAAAACAAGGTCTCAGAAATTCACATACACCAATATTTGTAAAGCTTTTAATCAACCATCATATTTTCTTTCTTCGATTTCAATATACTTACTACACTTCTTTTAGTGTTGTACATTTTTTGCCGCGGCATCGCTATATCATATACTGGCGGTTGTTTTCTTTTCAATCATTATTCGAAGTGGTTGATCGATTTATTTTAGTATCTGTTTACTATAACAGCTAATCAATTTGTATTTTGTTCTTCAGATTAGCTTGCAGTTCAGCTGACCTGTTTAATTATATATGCAATACGATGTAAATATTTACCCAGGCCGAAACGTTTCGAACGTCTCGGTAAAGAAGACGAACGATTTCTGAATTTTTGGTGAAACGGAAATATATTACAGTAATAATACTATTATAGTTTGGTAAGAACCTGTACATGATATAAAAGTTAAGAACAATATCTTATAGAAATGGTTCGGTAAACGTTATTCGGATGGATATTAATATTCGATAATATATCATGTTTACTACTTATAGTACAAACCAAATAAAAATAACTGAAAAATGTACGGTACTACAAATAGAACCAAATTTGGCAAAACAATCTTCTCCCGTATCGATCCGGATGTCTTTAAATTCACTATTCAAAAATAGTTCTGAATCACGACATTGAGTTGCATATTAAAATATATCTCACAGCCATTTCAACGTTTTGAAAATTAGCAACCATAGATTTATAAATGTTAGGTATAAAAACCTCTTTGTAAATATTATTTTACATCCGAACTATTAATTTAAATCTAGAATATGAAATAATAGCCATAGTATATATAATTATAGTAATAAATTTAAAATAGAATTTCCTTTATAAGCAATAAGTGTTTTTTTATATTAAAAACAAATATATAACAACAACATATAATGCATAGGAGTAATATATGGAACAAATCTTACTGTACATTAAGCTACGGGCTGTTTTATTTTTTTCTAACGCTATTGATAAATGGCATAACACGATAAATATTGCGAAAATCGTTATGAGATCATCACACTAGAATATAAAAATTAAATAGGACAATTATACGAATATACTATTACATATTGTTTATTTGTCGTTATTTTTACAAGACATCAGTCGGCTCCTAAGTCATTCAGCTGGAAGTCAAGTTCAATATTTACTTAATTCTTGTCATATTACATTTATTTCCATTTACCTTAACTGATGGGGCCGGGAACGGAACAATATTAGTCCGTGCGCCCGGGTACCTTAACGCTTGTCACACACCCACCGACCCGAGTAACCCAGCCAGCATTAGTTGGGTTCATCGCTCAAATACTAGCTATGTGGTGTGATGATGTGTGTGTATGTGTGTATGTGTGTGTGTGTGTAGGCTTAAAATTAATGTACAAATAGGTGACTTGGATAAAATGGTAGCAAGATTTGGTTATTAAGTTGCTGTATTATACACAAATTGGAAATAATGACTGTTGACCAAAATAAATAGAAATTAAAAATCACAAATCTAATTACAATGATAATGCGCAGCCCTCGTGGCCGAGTACAATTAAATGATAGTATTATATGACCGTTCTGGCAGAACAAGATAATAATATAGTCAGCTGTTTGAAGTGTTATAGATAATGATATACCTATAGTTAAATTAATCCGAATCGATTGTCTGTATTGCTGGTAACAATAGGCATATAACATAATAATAATAGCAATCGTACAATGCACCGCTTCACAGAAATATAAAATGGGTACTCACTGATTAACAAACGATAGCTGGTCAGACTGGAGGACAGCTGGCCAGTCTGGTCCATATCCTAAAAAAATGTTAGTAATCGCACACAAACCACACGGAAAACAATATAAAAAACATTTTCAATAATCATACGGTAACCTACAACGGTTTAATAACACGTAGCGATTTTCGTTACGGAAATTAATAAATAACAATATAATAACAAGTGGCGGTTTGAGCCCACAAATGTATATAGTATGATCATATTATACTCGTAATATGAAACCACAATACAAACAAAGGGTGGCGTTTTGCGCACGCGTGATGGGTATGTAATAAAAAGAGGCGATTCGAGCCCACGAATACAACTAAAAATAATATATAATATTGTTTTGTGACACCTCGATTCATTGGTGTGTGCGAGAGCGACAAAGATTTGGGCGGCCGTGCTAACCGGATATGCACTCCGTCGTCGACGGCGGCCGTGTTAATTTGCACACCGGTAAGCCGGCGGCGGCTGATAACGAACGTAATCTACATAATATTATTGTATAATTCACGATGACAAAAATAATATATTCTACAAAAATAAAACAATATAAATATAATGCGTGTGTGTGTGAGAGAGTGTCGGTCGGCGGCTGCTATGAATTGCGTTCCGGGCCCTCAACACTGTACGACTACTATATAAACAATAAATATCGATTGATGTTTTGTGCAAATATGTATACATGTTGTAGGTACTTTGTGCCCTTGACGTTCTTGTAGCTGTAATTATACCAATATTATACTTTTCAGCTTACTAAAAATTCGTTATAAATATATTATATACAGCAAGCAAAAGTTCGATTACGATTTTTGACGTATTATACGGCTATTATACAGCTCGTAACATATACCTACTCGATTTTACTGTCAAAACTTTTAACCTTATATGGGTAGACTCGCATCTGCGAGCATATGAAATTCAAAGTGGACACCATCGTTTTATTACCGTGTATTAACCGTAGGAGCATAAACAAGTTTTCGCCATAATATGCGCATGTCGTCTGGTTAAAATTGTATCATGATAACGCTGCAGTACCTAAAAGGGTATTTTTTTAATACGGTTACAATATAAATATCTCAACGCCATAATTAATTACTCATTTATTTGAACAGATTGACTTTTAGAAAGAGGAAATACGAAATCGGTTAAGAGTAAAATTAAATTGTTCGAATCGGTTCCCATACGCTTGCACGCATAATATGGGTATACCTAGTAAGTAACTAATACCCAACTATAAAAATAATATATTATCGAGATCGGATGACTGTCATTTTTTACCAAAAATATTGGTAGAATTACCATCTACTCCAGAATCGTTTGACGGAAAACGTAATTCAGAATTTTATTCCGACGCCATAAATATTTTTTATTTACTAGAAAAGATACCTCAACAGTAAAAACTGAGTTTAGTACTTAGTATTTACTTATACCACAATAATTATTGTTGTTATTACTTATTTTAATTAACTTTGACTAATTTTATATTTAGTTAGACCGTTGTAATATACCTAGAACCTAGCTATTTTGTTATTATCAGTATTGGTCATTTATCATTTGTCATAACTTATATTGCGTATTGCTTATAATATTGTGTAACTGTTATAAATAGATTGATTAAAAAATAGCCACGAACATATGGAACTGTTAAATAATATAATTATTCAAGCCAATTTTAACTTAGTTTTATTATTCAATAAAAGTTCATTAGACCTAATGCGTAGAAACTATTTTGTTATAAGGATTTGAAGTTCAAATATTGACAAAATCACTTCAATTTTCAAACTATTTAGTAGATAAGTAGTTAAATACGTATCAAATATTCAATTTGTATAGCTAATTCAGTTTAATTACAGTTTAATTAATACATTTTTTTTTTAAAAAACTATTCAAGGTACCTTATGTAGTTCTGAATTGATTGCTTTTAATTCAGGTTAGTACTCAGTGGTATTGTGAAGAGAAATATGTCTGACCAAATCTATTTATTTGCAAACTTTATCGGTGCAATTTTTAAGTACCTAAGCAAACTTAGTTGAAGTTGAGGTCATCGCCAAAATATTTTTTTCAATTTTCAAAAACTTTATTATTAAAGGACTATATTAGTTCAATTTACTTAGCGCTATATTGTTATCACTCAAATAAAAAAATTACTATTTCGATTTCAATTTCAGTTAATTATAATCGTACATTTTAGAATGAAGCTAAGAAATTAGTAACAACAGATTTCAATTTTGAATCTGTTTCATCTGTGATTTTTCCTTCTTTTGCGATAGTTGCCAATAATGATTTCTCAGAGGTCCTAAAAATATATAAATAAGGTTATTTTATTTTTTAATGCATTGTTAGTTGATACTTAAAACACAGAACTAAACAACGAGTAAGTACTTTATGTGTTGTAAGAATTCTTTCTCAAATGTAGTAATTTTGGATGGTGCCATTTTATCAAGGAATCCTCGTACGCCACAGTAGATAACAGCAACTTGTTCTTCAATGGCCATTGGTACTAAAATACAAATTATGATAGTCAGATAACCAATAGATAAGTGTGAATGTATTGAAATACATAATGCAATATCCAGTTGATTTTCTATATTTTCCATATTATGAAAACAGCGATAATATTAATATGGTAACCCACTCTCATTATGGATACTATAAATTTGATTTCCTTACCATATTGTGCTTGTTTTAATAACTCAGTCAGACGGACCCCACGATTCAAAAGTTGTTGAGTAGATGCATCCAAATCGGAACCAAATTGAGCAAATGCTGCTACTTCACGATACTGAGCTAATTCCAATTTCATGGAACCAGCTACCTATAATATTCATTAACGATCAACGTATTTATTTTTGTAGAAAAATGAATCAAAATCGTTTCCATTTCTCACTTGTTTCATGGCCTTAGTTTGAGCAGCAGAACCGACACGAGACACGGACAGACCAACGTTAATAGCTGGACGGATTCCTTTGTAAAATAATTCAGTTTCCAAGAAAATCTGTCCATCAGTAATGGAAATTACGTTAGTTGGAATGTACGCAGACACATCACCCGCTTGGGTTTCAATTATAGGCAAAGCGGTCAAAGATCCACCACCAATAGAATCACTCATCTTGGCTGCTCGTTCCAAAAGACGAGAGTGAAGGTAAAACACGTCACCGGGGTAGGCCTCACGACCGGGTGGACGCCTCAGCAACAGGGACATCTAACAAAACATTACAAAATACAGTAATTAAAATAAATTATTACAACATGCCAATAATAGTATAATACTTGACGGTAAGCAACAGCTTGTTTGGATAAATCATCATAGATAATAAGGGCATGCCTGCCGTTGTCTCTGAAAAATTCGCCCATGGCGCATCCAGTATATGGGGCGAGGTATTGCAGGGGAGCTGCATCAGAAGCTGTAGCTGCTACAATTATGGTATACTTGATTGCGCCTTTATAATAATGAATAGGTATATATATGTTTTTATATTTTAATAAATAAGCAAACTTTTGATTTATAATCTTAAAACAATAACTCAATTCCTATTTCTTTATGAATATTTATGCTAACCGGTGTCTGTTAACCTTTTTACAATTTGGGCAACAGTCGATCTCTTTTGTCCAATAGCAACATAGATACAATATAGTTTCTTCTTTTCATCTTGGGCATCATTAAATCTCTTTTGGTTGATAATGGTATCAATAGCCAAAGCAGTTTTACTGAATAATGCAAAATTTATGAAATAAATAACAACAATAAATTTATGATTAATGAAAAGTTAGTAACTACTAACCCAGTCTGTCTGTCTCCAATGATCAATTCCCGCTGACCACGACCAATAGGCACAAGTGAGTCAACAGCCTTAATACCAGTTTGCATAGGTTCTCGCACAGCCACACGGGGAATTATACCAGGTGCCTTTCTACCAACACGGTACCTAAGCTTAGATGTCAATGGTCCGTTACCATCAATAGTATTGCCCAATGCATCAACCACACGTCCAAGCAGGTCATCGCCGACTGGTACATCCACAATAGTACCAGTACGTTTCACAACATCGCCTTCTTTGATTAGTGTGTCATTGCCAAATACTACAACCCCTATATTGTTAGGTTCTAAGTTAAGAGCCATACCCTAAATTAGAAGAAAGAAATTATTGATTATACATTTAAACATACATAATTTAATTTATTTTTAACAAAAGAAAATCATACCTTCAATCCAGAGGAAAATTCTACCATCTCTTCTGCTTGGACATTTTTTAATCCATAAACACGAGCAATACCGTCACCAATAGTTATAACTCTACCTGTTTCTTCTAAATCAGCCTAGATTATACATATTATTATTATTATTATTATATTTTGTTTTCATTAAATTATAATCTTAGATTCTGAGAGGAGCGAAGTGATTTAACATTGATGTATGATTAAATATTTTGTTTATAAGTGAAGATATTTTTTCTAGAAGAAAAAATTCCAATCATCAACTTTGAGGGAGGTTTGGTACTTTCCGGTGTTTTGTTCAAAATTAAAAATTCTCATTAACTTCTTTTTAAAAATAATCGACAAGAATTTAAAACAAAAATTGTCAAGTACTTATGTCAACAAGCTGTTATATGCACTGTAGCCAGTGGGTGCCGTGTGTACCTTGTTATTGACTAGAAACTCAACACTATTATGAATGTGCTAAGTTTTAATTCAATGATAAATACAATCAAAAACGATGCTGAGCGAATATGGTCTAACTTATTGGTAAAATGGTAACCAAAAATACCATGTAATTATTTTAAAAATAATACTAAGATTTCAACAAAATATGTTCGTATTTTTTCCCTTTAATCTTCTCATTTTGAACTAACGAAAGCACTAATTAAATCTTATTCATTTTCCACAAGAAATCTACACCAGAGTTGATCAGATTCTACTAGAAAAAGTGTCTTCATACACAAAATAAGAAAAAAAATAAACAAACAAACACATCATTTTAAAATCAATGCTTTATTTGCATCGCTCAGAATCTAAATTACAGACATTTGTGAAGATTTTAGTTTTATTAAAATAATTGTTAGGTAACCTTGGATACCAAAAAGTTAGACCATTTTGCATCGATTACAACGATTTATCACTAAATTCAATTAAAACACATCCATTATAATAACTTACGACTTACCAACTCATATTCGAAGTTACATTCGACCCTCACTCACTAAAACTCTCATCTACTCAAAGAATAGTTTGAAATTTAATGTAGGTACTACATACTTTGGGTGGAGCTCCCAAAATTCTTTGTTCCAGAATGGAAGAAATTTCTGCATCTCGTGCACTGCAGGTTATATGTATTGGCCGACTGATGAGTTTTGACATGGTCCATGAGGCCTTGCTTATCTGAATAAAAATACAAATATTCAATAAAATTAATTTAAATGTTATTAAATCATAACCATGACTAAATATTTTTTTAATTGAAATTTAGGATATATATTTTTAAGTAAACGTATCTAATGAATTTTATTTGTATTTTCTATCATTATTGTGTATGTCCTCTATGATTATGTAATATTACATCCTGAGTGGAGCAATAAAAGTATATCTACGTTTTACAATGACGTGTGTGTTTTTTTTTTATTATTGATCTTAATTACATCGGCTACTAGGCCTTTAGTCTACATACGATTTACATACAGTACATGTTATTATTGGTTATATTAAGGTTGCATAGTTAAATTTCCTTTAAGAGGACGCTACACAGGCATTTGTTGTGACATATTAAATTTATGCTCATCAGATCACGTTTAGATCTGCAGTTTAAAAATCGGAGTGAATCGACGTATAATGTTATGAACCTCAGTGTTAAGAATATTATCTGTGTTTTTTGGTGGAGATTTTACGATGATTATAATTACATAATATATATTACATAATAAAGCGTAAATTAAAAAATACTTAATAACTTAATTAAAAACTGAACTGTCGCACCCCAAAAACAAACATTGATAATGTTTTTACCATCAAGATTTATAATAGGTCGATTCACTCTAATTTTTAAGCTAACGGAGATAAACGTGATCTGCTGAGCGTACATTTACTGCGTTACGAACTTATGCCTGTGTAGCCTCTTGAGAAGTTAATGATTTTGATATTTGATTAAAAATTAGGTTTTTTTTTTGTTTGTGTATGAAAACATTTTTTCTAGTAGAAAAAATGCTCTGACCAAGTTACACCTATTTGATGCATAAAAATTAAAAACGTATAGGTACTTGATTCCAATCAAAGATTGTTTAATTATAAGCATGTGTTGTTTAAATGAATAAACATACAATTAATAAAATAATAATAATATTAGTCACTAAGATCAATAAATGTACAATACTGTAATTTATTAATTTCGTGAAGTAAAATTGAGTGACAAGTAATTAAGGTATCACGCTTACTAGCTGTGCGGTATCGTGAGCAATGTGATGAAACAGTTGAGTAATATACATTTAAATTACAAATTAACATACTATACCTGTGGTAATGTTTTGTCTAATGGTGTTCCAATTTTTGTCACCAAACGGAGAAATAAGTTAGTCATTTTTCAACGTGTTCGTCAGTTACCATCCGAAAATAATTATTGCAAATAATAATATATAGTTGCAACCAACGGAATTTGGAATGATAGAATGGACTCCCAACGGTTTTAATTGGCATGTAGATGATGACTGAAGTGCAGTGATCATCAAATAAATATGTTTCTTCTCTGCTACTGATCCCAGCCTATGAATAATCACAATGTCCAATGCTATCTAGTGGTAAGTAAATTGTGCTGCATTTGTTCATTGATGTTATAGTATGTCCTTCTAATGAACACTTATTATTTTAACATAAGTCATGACAAAGTATAATGTAGGTACTCGGCATGGAAGTGAAAACCATGAGCAAAGTGATCCATCTATGTTGTCATAGAGACCTTAGTAGGCGCATCGTTCAATGTACAGACTTTATCATGAACACTAAACTATTAATACAACTAATAATATTATTGTAGTTTTCGTGGACAATGAACTCCATTTTTATTATTTCCAAATATTATAGGTACCTACTACCTACTCAATGTCGCTGCTACTAATTACCACTACAATATATCTTACTATAAGCAATTGTTATTGTACTACATTAACGATATACTGCTAAAATAGTAGGTACATTTATATAACATATTATCTGATAATATTATTTATTTATTAATTTATTTATTTATTAATTCACGGAATAAAAAATTCCTTATTTAGTATAGAACATAACAATAATTCAGTAAAATAAGATAACTAACATATACAAGGGCGATGGCCAAAAAATACAGCAGAATAACAGGCACAGTAAATATAAACTAAAATAATTAGGACACAAGTAAAATTACATACAATAAATGTACAAAAAATAACACAATATTAAGGTAAACTGAGAAAGGAGGGGTCCTCGTTAGCCAACCGCATCATGCGGTCAATTGGTTTGTTTTTACCGTAATTGGTAAAGTGGAGAGGTACAGTAAAAGGAACTCGAGACCTTGTGGCCCGATGTGGAACTTTAAAGTTTACTTGGATAAGCAGTGAAGGGGCATTTAAGGAACCATCGATTAACTTTTTTAAAAAGGCCAGATTAGCTTTAACGCGCCTATCTGCTAAAGATGTAAGGCTAAGTGCGCGCAATACTGGAGTATAGTCGTGAGGAGGATGGACAATTTTTAGCATGTAAGCTGCAGACGACAGAAAGCGCCTTTGTACACGCTCTAAGTGGCAAGAATCAATAACCACAAATGGGTCCCAGAGCACAGACGCATACTCTAGCATGCTTCGGACTAAAGAGCAGTAGACAGTCTTGAGAGATCCAGACAGCTTGAACTCCTTCATGGTGCGCATTACGAAGCCAAGCGATTTGAGGGCTCGGCAGCAGATGGAGTCAATGTGAGGGCGGAAGTTCAGATCGGCAGTGAAAAGAACGCCCAAGTCGCTATTGCTTGCAACTCTATCAATCACTGAACCATTGATAGTGTAAGAATAATCGAATACCAACCGGCGCCTGGTGAAGGACATAGCTTTGCATTTATTAGTATTAAATTGGAGGCCAAGAGTGCTAAACCATAAGCTAATGGAATCTAACTCGTTCTGAAGGGCGTGACAGTCAGCTTCAGATTCGATTTTTCGGAAAAGTTTCAGGTCGTCAGCGAACATAAGGAATCTACACTTAGGAACAGCCTTCGTAATTCCATTTATAAATAAAGAAAAAAGCAGGGGAGACAAGTGACCACCTTGGGGAACACCAGATGGAACAGGGACGACAGCAGATTTTGATCCAAGCACTTTAACCCACTGGACACGATCGGACAGGTATGATTTAAACCAGGACAAAATAGGTTCGCCAAAACCGGACTTATAGAGGATGTCAATGAGGATAGCGTGGTCTACACGGTCAAATGCTTTCACAAAATCAGTGTAAATCACGTCTACCTGGGAGCGATTTTCAAATGCCTCAAGGACAAAATTATTAAACACAATTAGGTTCGAAGTGGAAGAACGTCCGGGTCGGAAACCATATTGTTCGTCGACTAGTACAGAGTCAACCGAGGGCTGAATGGATTGCAGTACTAAGTTTTCGAAAAGCTTGGCAATATGACTTAGAATCGAGATGGGTCGATAATTCGTGACGTTAGATTTGTCACCAGATTTGAACACAGGGGTGACTGAGCTGATTTTAAGCATTGATGGAAAAATTCCATCATCCATTGAACGCCTGAAGAGTAACCATAAATGAAAACAGAGGACAGACCTGATGTTATACAAAAAGGTCCCAGATAGACCATCAGGGCCAACGGAGTGCACATTTTTTAGTGCAGCTAACCCGTTCTCGACATCATCGATACCGAAGATGCAGTCAGAAGGTAAAGTATGCTGCGCAAATGGGATTACAGGTATGCTACTTGCTGAGGAAGGCACATGGACTGAGTTAAAGTAAGATGAGAAAAGACTGGAGATGGATTCAGGACCAGTGGCACTTAGATCATTGAGGTGAACAGAGTTGGGAATACCATTGCTAGATCTACGCTTACGTACAAAGTCCCAGAATAGACGAGGATTAACTTTAAGCATGTTTTCAGTGTTATCCAGAAATGTTTTATAGCATTTTTTATAATAATACTTATACTGAGCGCGCAGGTTAGAGAACTTGTTATAGTCAACAGGGTTACGTGATGCTTTGTATTTAGCGTGCATTTCTTTCTTGGCAAAAACAATGTTTTTTAGATTTTTAGAGAACCAGGATGGAAATTTAGAAGGTTTGAAAACAACTAAATGTACAAAACTTGTAACACAGTAATGCAATGCATCGTACAATGCACACGTAGCAGAATCAATATCAGTTGTTGTTAAGGTTTCTAACCAGTTAAACGATGATAAGAAGGCACTAATACGAGGATAACAGGTTTTACGAAAATTATAATATTTATGACATCTATCAATAGAAGGTAAGTCATCTACAAAAGTAAGCATAAAAACTAAGGCTGGGTGGTAAGGATCACATGGAACCACCCCAGTAACGGATTTCTCTATATTTATCCGAGAATCATTGGAAAAAACTAGATCAAGGAAATTACCATGGGAGTTGGGTATGTGATTTAGTTGGAAAAAATTATTATATGCGAAAACGTCAGGAACACAGTGGATAGCAGGGCCAGAGGAAGAATAAATTAAGCCAAAATCGTCATTAGACCAGGATAGGTCAGGAAGGTTAAAATCACCAGAGAAAATAAATACGGAACCAGGTTTAGCGTCGATAATATATTGAGCAGCAGACATAAAGGACTCATATACCGGGATAGGGCTACTAGGAGGAATGTATACGGAGCAAACAATATAAGCAGTATTATTTACATAAAATTTAACGAATAGATATTCAACATTGTTAATGAGTGCAGGTAACAAGTTATGGACCACATCGTTACGAATGGCAACGAGAACTCCTCCTCCTCTACTAAAACTACTGGATTGACTACTTCTATCACACCTAAATACAACATAGTTGTGTAAACCTAATTCCGTGTCTTGGAAGCTATTAGTAAGCCACGTTTCAGTTAAACAAATGAAAATATAATTAAACACAGCAACATTACATTTAAAAAGACAAAGTTTGGTTCTTAGACCTCTACAGTTTTGATAGTAGCCCATGGTAAGCTTCACTCCTTGGCTGATAAGTTTTTCGGGGTGCTTCACAACACCAGATCTGGAAGTGGGTGGTGCGCACGCCATACTAAGAGGAGGACAGGTAGACGAACATAAAGATATCAGTTTTTTGGAGTGGCGTCTTGAATCATCTCAGGAGCAAGACGACCCCAAAAACGTTTGACCATTACACCATCGGGCCAGAATGCAGGATCGAGGACAACATCCAGCTTATCCGCAGGCAGACGAATATGGAACGAAGAGTATGATGGATGCCTTGTAACCATTTTGCTGATGGTCACGTCTGAGTAACCATTGAACATTTCAGATTCTAACAGGGCAGTTGTAACACTTGGATCAAGCCTCGAGACAAAAATATCAACATGCTTACGCACAGGCACTGATGACAGCTTGGAAGATGAGTTCTTTACAGAACCAACAATGAATTTTGATTTTACAGACGAAGATTGACTGGCAGTCAATTGGTTTGCGGGTTGAGTAGAACGATTACCCGTAACCGAGTTCGGGTGTACATCAACTGGCAGTTTAAAGAGTTGAGCATTTGATTTGGGAGTTAGGGCATTAGGTGCCGCATTGAGGTGGTTGAGCTTATCATGTAGCTTAGCGTTACTTAGAGCTACGGATTTGAGCTCCACAACCACGGATTGGAGAATATTAGCAATATTAATTGAGTTTCCATGCGAAGGCGATACAGGATCAGAAGAAGAATTTTTTAAAAACTTAGACAAGTCGTCACTTAGCTTCACACCAGCGGGCAGAGTCTGCGCCACTATATAGTCAACGAGCATGCTTTTAGTCCATTTGTTTAACTCGGAAGAAAGAAGATCATTGTTTTGTGTCATTATGTGTTTTCGTCTACCTGGTGAAAACGTGTGGATAAACAAAGGACAAAATAAGGCGCCTTAAGAAAAATAAATAGGCCAAATAACTTGCACCTGGCGTAGACAGCAAAGATAGGCGGCGACCTTGGCACGTGCCGGATTCGAATTACGAGATAGCCTCCACGGGTCGACGCTGCTTATCGATGTCGATAAGAATTCAACCGTAATTAGGTGATAGTATAAACTTATAATAAATTATTACCTTTCAATGATGCGCACAAATTAATTAACAAATGACTGAAAGTAAAAAATTTAGAATAAATTGTAATCGGACTGACTCAAAAACGACACCAGTCGAAGCACGCACTTTCCCGGATTTAGTGAACTAAAAAACGCAAAAAACGGGTAACTAGTTTCGAAGGAAACTTAAGACGGGCACAGAGCGTATAATGATATAGTACGTATATTTAACCATGATTATTTAACCATTATTACAATAGAACCCCTCTCGTCCGCCCTCGAATGGTCCACCACTCCGCGTGATCCGACCATAATATTATCGATATGAATAATTTAAAAATACATTTGTATTTTCCAACTTTACGGTAGATATATAAAATTAATTGCTAGTTTAATATTTCCCTTATCGATTGTCCGATTTAGTATCCCCGATCCCGACCTTTCTCGTATCTGTATATCTTTAAATTAGTGAGATTTTGAGAGGAAAACTTGAAAAAAAATGTAATCATTTTTATCTAATACCATTACGTATTGTATTTTAAAATGCGTATTAAATGGACATTGGGACAAAATTAATTTGTATTATAGAACATAATAAAATTTAAAAAACAAAATATGTCAATTAATATAATTTAATGCCCGTGGACATTGGTTCGACAACACAACAGTGAAAATTAAGTAGGGTGCTAATGCAGTTATAATAATTATTATTGTCTGTTGGAGTGGACTTAGAATTGGACTTATTGAAATCGTAGTAACTATAATAATATGTATTGACAAATTAGTTTGGCTTCAGAAGTAAGTTTAT